CAGCATTGTCACACAAGCTAACTGATTCCAGTGCTCTGTTTATTGGCCTGTTACAGAGTTGTTAAACACAATTGTGTGGAATACCAAACATGACCCTCCACAACCTCCACTGAACTTTTACACCTAAAACTGTGACATTAAACACACACTCTCTCACTTTCTGCTTGGACCTGTTAGAACAGAGATTCTCTTTTCCTGCCACCATTCACAACACTGGGTTTCCCTCTGCTTCCACCAGCTCTTCTCTCAACCCTCCTGCAGGGTTTCCTTTTTTCCCCTTGCTCCAGTCATAGCATCTCTCTTCACAGATCTTCCATCCTGAATCAATGAATGGTGATGGTAAGAGACCTGGACACCACCAGCCAGACCTCAGCTGTGTCAGGGACAGGGCCTGGTATTGGTATTGGTACTGGTAATGAAATGGGTCAGAGCGATGAGCTGTCAGTGGTTTTGGCAGTGCTCAAAGCAGTGATGTATATGGGATATTCTGACCTCAGACTATTTCTCTCTTTGGATATGTCAGCACTATGCATCAGTGCCAGTGCTCCCCCCTCTGCCCTTTGTTACCCCTTTGTGTCCCTGTGTTGGTGTGTATGAGTCACAGCTCTCACATGAGACGGCAGAGAGGAGCCTTGAGGATGTTACCAGGGTGACCTTCTGTCAGCCCAGGGAACAGAGTGGATTGTTCAGCCCAGTCCATTCCCAAAGGCTCTGAGTTCATGTTCGTAGAAGGGTGAGACAACCAGAGAAACAAGGATTGGCATTTACAATTATAAGCCAATATATTTGACTGGTCATTTGAGTACATCTCATACCTTGTTCTAAATGGAGGTTTGATATTCTGACTTTAAATGACTAAATGTTTCCTGTGCCTGAGAAAGTAGAGGATTTCTATGGCAAAGGCATCATTTTCCTGAACACGAATCCACTCGGATGGAAGCCATATTGATAATGTCTGCTTCGTCATGCAGTGTTCACAAAGAACCAGCCTTTTATTTAACTTATTTCATATCAGAGGAAATAAGTCCTACACACCTGGATGAGATCTTGACCTTTCCAGGGACATTTATTGTGGTCCTATTTTGTCTGCTTGTCTGTTAGCAGGATACATCATCCACTCTCCAAAAGTGATGCCATGGCTCGTGGAACAGACAGTTCTAAGTAACCATAGTGCCTCCTGAGGCCTGTACTACGAAGCCGGATTTTCCTAACCTGGATATGTTTGAGTTAGCCGGTTGGCCCAATCCAAAACATACGCGCTCTCGCTAAGCTGTACTACGACGCTGGTTATCAAGTGGATCGCTCAAGCCAGCCGTGTCCTATCTAGTTAGGTGCGCGTTCACATGAAAGGGGTGGTATTTGGAGCATTCGACCAATCTCAAACATGGACAAGCGTACTGACAGCGCAGCGTCATACTTCCTGAATGAAAAGTGAACTTTAATATTAGTCAAATATGAAGAAGTTAAACTTTAAACATCCATGTCTTAAACACTTTATCCAGGATAAAAGCCACATAGCTGCACTGCAAGGTGAATACAGCTGGTAAAAGAAAAAGTGTTTGAATGCGTACATTAACAGGTTTATGAAATCACTGCCCCGTCCAAGACACGATCTGACTTTAATTACATTTGACTTGAGTGTTTCGTCAACTTAATGTGTTGCTTAAAAGAATACTTCTGCATACAGTATGTGACACTGTGAGTGTTGCACGGCCAGATACGGCTCAGCTGACTCAGATAAGGAAATATATGATACATTATGATGTGATGTGATATGAATGATAATGGGACACATCGACGTCTGCACTCACAGTGCCGCGGACTGTACTTAATGTTACTCTGATCCGGTTACTTATGTCGTGGCAGATATTTAAGTAAGCTTTCTTAACACTAATATTATAATAGTCAGATTGCTCTGAAGATGGGAGGGGATATTCTATTCATTTTCACGTTCACACAGTCAGTTGATTTTTGCCGGCCGTCTTTCCTGCAACGGCAGTTTTTCTGTATTTCCTCTATCCTGTAATATGACTTGATCGCTTTAAACTCCGCACACGGAGCTCTGATTGGTCAACAGGCAGTGCTTTCACTGAGTTGATCTCTTAGCCTGCAACCTAACCTGCTCCCGAGGAGGTTAGCCGCTCAGCATAAGTTACCATGGAGATCTAGCCCGCTAAAAAGAGAACCAGCGTCGTAGGACCGGGAAGCCCGAGTTTTCCCTGAAGTCAGCCGGCAAAGAGAAAATCCGGCTTCGTATTACAGGCCTTGGGAGTTGGTATGGATTACAATATTTGTTTGTTTGTTCATGGACTCTGTGGACCCTCAGACTTGAGCAAAATGTAAGCACAATATTGGACCAACATTACAGTTAATCTGTTTGCTATAGCATTATTCTCTAGTCTTTCTGTGTCATGGTCCTTCTTCTAGCAACTGTGTCGTTTGAAGTCAGATATGAATCAGCGGCTGCATGGCACAACCAGTTCACTGTTGTTTGTGTCTGCTCTGTGGAACTCAACTTCTTTGTTTCATAGAACATCTAATGATTATTTGTTCACTGCCCTCAGATGGACTGTTGCCATTGTAAATTACAACATGTTTGTTGTTGTCTTTTTGTGTCTTTTATTAGCTATAATTAAGGTAAAAAACTAAAGATTGTTGTTCTTTCACCCAAGTTTAGGACTGACAGGCCATTTTATTTTTCATTACATAGTCAGGCCCTTTCAAACATTTTGAGCCTGAGTGTAAACATCCAGAAACAGCTGTCGCCATGCCCAGTGAATGCCAGTCAACTTTTTCCTCTGTTGTCATGCGATTTGATCTGATTATGGTTAGTATTTCACTAATGTGGCAAGTCTGTAGCTACCATACACTTAACATCATCTTGGGTGTTGCGTTGCCATGGGGAACAACAGCAAAGCAATATAAAGTTCTAATCAACCACCATTAAGTGGAATTACATGATGTCTTATTGAAACTATATTGTTAGTTGATACATTCGGTGCCACATTTATATATAGCTCTGATATATTACAAGGAAGATATATATCTTTGTGACTGACATACAATACAAAAAAAAAGCTTTAAATATACTTTATAAATAATTGTGTTAATATTATCCAACTATTGCTAATTAAAAGGTTAAAATAAAGTGAGATGACTGGCGTTGTCTTCTCAAACGCTTTCCTTTGGTGTTTTACCGGGGTCAACTTTCCTCTGTGAGCTTTTACTGTTTATTATTTTAGTATGATTATGTAAAAAGGTTTTTACTTGATATATGGTGACAGATTGGTCACCCATCAGACAGAGACTAGTTCAAATACATTCAGCAACCTGTACTTAGAACTGTAGTGTGTGTTTATTGCAGGATGTTTGTGCTCTGTAATGACCCATTTACAACTGTAAGAAAGTATATATGTAGGTTAAGGGTTTTTTTCTATATATTTTGGTTTAAATTAGTTTGTATAATTATCTATTAAAGTAGGATTTAGCATTGCCATATACATATAGTAGACACAGATGTATACAACTGTTGATTAGTCAATTATTAAAACTATAAATTATACTATACAACTGATATAGCATTATGTAAGTAAGTTATTCAATAATTAAAGCATTTGCTGGCTTCAGTTTAAGCCACTTAAACCACTTTTTAAGTTTTTAATCACTTTGTTTTTTGGTACTCGATGAGACATAAGAGACATTTTATATCATCTCACTGGGCTCTTCATACTTCTAATAAGCATTTTTTCTTAAACTTTAGTAGAAAGGCCTTACATCATTAACTGACATTGCCACACCCAGGTTTTTATCAAAATCTAATATAATTTTGATGGTGGAGGCATGGCCGGAGCAGAAGAAGAAGTCTTTTTGCAATAGTGTGACTGAAGCAAGCTGTCCAGCAGGGGAGCATTATCAGAGCGGAGTCACCGTGTTCCAGCCAGCAGGTTCCGTGTGTCGGCCTGCTTTACAGCTTAACCCCGCTAAGATCAGCAGCAGGCCAGGCAGTGTCAATGGATTTTCTTCCTGCGTGCCAGCTCTTAAAAAGGCCCAGGCCTGATGTGTCAGTGTGCAAAAGTGTTCAGATTTCAAACCCCTCTTTGAAGAGTAATCAAAAGAGGAAGCAGCGTGAGATGAGTGTGTAACCATATCTCTCACTCCTTCTCTCTTATTCTCCTTTTCTCTGTTTCTCATTCACATCTCATGCTTTCCTTTTTTTTTCTGACATTCTCGCCCTCCCATCAAAGCTGGAAGAACCAGCCTCCATATATAGGCGGAAGCTACAGAGGCGTTCCAACATTTCTGCGTGTGATATTAGCAAAAGGTGGCATATTTCTATGCAAACATCAGTGGAGGGTGTGCCTCTGTGCATCTGTGTGTGTGTCCTGTACACTGAACACATGACAGTGTAGCAGCTCATTAAACAGAGCAGCTCTCTGACTGACATGCACACATAAGATAAGATAAGAAGTACTTTATTGATCCCAATTTGGGGAAGTTTTGCGTTGCAGCAGCATAAAAAGACACCGTAGTGAGACAGCCTCTCTCAAACCCAGTCTGAGGTTCTGTCCCCTAAACTGCTGCTTTTACCCACAGAGAGCCGCTAACCAAACTCTCCATCACCAAGACATAACCCGTCAGGATGAGACTCACTGTCTGACTCGTGGCATGTTGAGTCCTTTCATCATCTGAAGGAGAGAATGTTCACAAGCCTGCTTTATGCATATTCAGAAGTCCGAATGTGGTCATCTCTTAACACAGCTGATGAAGAGAGCCTCACAAACAGGTGCTAGCTGATCTTCAATAGGGCGCCCTTCCCCAAGGCCAAACACTGTACCGTACGCACGGAGAAACGTGAACTGAGGCAAGGACAGAAGGGGAGAGTTCATATTAAGAGACATGTTACAAAAGTATCTGTTAAGGGCTGTTTTAGGGGGGCTGAGATCGGTCATGTGACTAAATAAAGTCAACATGACTTCCTTATATTTCTCTCCCCTCTCCAGTTGGAGCTGCAGTCGTGCTGTGTGTTCCTGCCTAATGACAGCCTGCCCTCCCCGAGCACCATCATCTGCGGGGACATTCCTGGCACCGTGCGCAGTTGGTATCACAACCAGGCCTCCATGCCCGGGACCCTGGTGGTCTGCCTGCCACAGATCAGTGTGCTCAGTGCCGGGCACAAGTACATGGAGCCGCTGCAGGAGCTCCCCTTTGTGGTCGCCAAGCCCATCTTGGAGGAAGGTAGGTCTGCATACTGTATCTAATGAAATCTCAACTTTAATTAGGATGAATGAAATACTGGGAGAAGAACAATCACCTAGTTGCACAGTGAGGACTCCAAATGCCCAAAAACAATGATTTCAAAGTTTTAAACGAGATCACAACATGTTAAACTTCAATAAACAATAATGGGGAGTCTTGGAAAATAGATTTGAATTATTTACTAAATAAAACAAATGTGTTCATAATGCTAATATTCTACATAATGCAAATTCATCATCATTAAGGACTTTTCAACAAGCCCCAGCTAACCTTTAACCCACTACTCATTAACAATGACAAAAGACAAACAAACTGAAGTAGAGATAGGTCCTGCACATGTGGTCTGCACACCTGGCAGAGTTGACATAAGCAACACTCAGACGGGTGAGTAGTGTTTTCTCCATACAAGAAGTGTCTTTTTTTCTCTCAAAGCTTCAATGACTGCAGCATTTGGCATATGGGTTTTAGAAACAGGAGTAAAAAGACAGCAAAATGAGTGACACTAGCAGCCATAACATTAACAATCCTTGCTTTTAGTCATTCATTCCTACTCTTTTTCAACGCTCTGGATCCAAGCGTCCTGCCCACACTGCATGGGAAATGTGCTCTTCCTGGCTCTGTGCTACCAAACAAGTTCTCCTTCTCCGTTGTTCTACCAGGGTTGGCAAGATTACAAACCTAGTGTGGCTTCCTGTGTCAGACCCACACATCTTTGACACTTTGTTTCAGTGGGATCTTGCTCCTTTGAGACTACTCCTTAGTGAATCTTTCATGTATTTCATGAAGCTTTCTCAGCCACTGTGCAGTATTTGGTTTTAATTTCAAAGGTAAGTGAGAGGACTTGTTTTGATCATGAACAATGCTGACTAATCCTTCTGGTGTTTTAATCCATTGCAACACTTTTTTGTTCGATTCTAGCCTGCATTCTGTTCGTCTTCCTCTCAATTTCACATTTGCTAAGCTTGTCCTCTTTGCTCTCCCTTCACATCTCTCTCATCATCCCTGCTCCTCTCAATCTCTGCCAATGTCTGCGTTGTGCAATTTCCATCCTATATCTCCTACTGCTTCATTCTTTGACCACATTTCTTATGCATCCTTCTTTTTCTGTCACTCATGTCTTCCACCAGGTGATGCCTTCCCTTGGACGGTTAGCCTGAGTCAGTTCAGTGTGTACACTTTGCTGGGCCAGCAGCAGAGCCTGAGCCTGTTGGAGCCAATGGGCTGCACCTCCACACTGGCTGTCACATCCCATAAGCTTCAGAGCTGTTCTGAAGGCAGACACTCCTTTATAGTGTGCCTCCATGTTGATCTCCAAGCCGTCCACGTCAAGTGCTGCAACCCTCAGGTCAGTGTGTGTCTGAATCTCACAGAGTAGTCATTGGATTTACATGTGTATTCAAACAAATCATCCTCTTGTAAAATGTCCTGAAATATGAGCACATCATCTCACCTCTGATTCTCTGATATCCATTGACTCCAATAAACAAACTGCTTCATCTTCTTTTCATAATTGTCATCAGAATGGAAGCATACAGTAGCTAAAGAGTGTGGCCTTGTTTGCTTTGGTCAAATATTTTGAGGTCTGAGTGGAGGAGAGTGGGGAATTGCAGCGCTCATCATCTGTGCTGTGCAGTGTGTTTGTATTGTTCTGTCAGAGCTGGATGAATAAGAACAGATTGGAAGTGGAACATGTTTGTCTCCTGGTTAGGTCTCTGTGTTTTTAGTTATTACAGCGCTATAATCACATCTACATGTACCGTTACACATGTTCCGTTTTTTTGCGATTGAATTAGCTGTATTGAATTAGGTTACTCAGTAAACACTTTATTGGAGCGACCTTTTTAGTGGTCCCACTGTTAAATGTCACTGACCACAGAGATGAGCCATGGTGATATTGAGGAGAATTGGAACCAGAAACAAATGAAAGGCCTTAAATTGGTAGTGGTGAAAACTTTCCCAGCGATGAGGAGAGCCGCTGGTTTATTGAGGGAAAGTTTATTGTCTTTCTTTTCTCTTCTCGCTTTCCAATTTAGTGCCTGTGTCTGGCAAAGCTGAGAGGACTTTTTGCGATTATATGATGAGTCATTATTAGTTTTTGGGTCCAATAAAAACCTCTCTTCTCTCTCATTGCAATCTTTCTGCTTTCTCTTCCCATCTGGTCTCCTCCTCTCTCTTTTTCACTCTTTGGTGTACATGTCTGACCCTTGGGGGGTTATAAGCTCTGTACCGTTTCAAGTCGTGGAGCAGCTCTTTAAGAACTGCTGCCAGAGCATCCCTCTGCTGCAGAACAAAAGAGACCTCACACTACATACTTCTTTTTCTAATTAGCATTTCCATTTGTGGGAATGTATGTTGGGATGTTGGAGCGCTGCACAGTCGCCTCACAATAAGCACCACTAAGACAGTTAGAGAGATCAGTGATGGGTGTAAAGTATTACTGTGGGTGTTGGGGTAACATCTAGCATTTGGAAAACAATCAGTTATTATCACAGTCATTATGAGTCAACAAATACAATCAAAGAGTTTGGCCTCTTAGATTCTCCTGGAATCTAAACTACATTTTTGTGATGTTAAATTACATTTTCCACAATCTGCTCTACATTACTTAATGGGAAAATAAACAGTCCTTCAAAATTGGGGTGAAATGAAATGCAACTTCAGCTGAGATACAGTAGTCTTTGGAAGGGTGAGTAAACCATTAAGAATAAATACAAATACTTTGTTACACACACACACACACGCACGCACGCACGCACGCACACACACACACACATATACACACACACACACACACACACACACACACACACACACACACACACACACATACACACACACACACACACACACACACACACACACACACACACACACACACATACACACACACACACACGACTGCTTGTGTTGCAGTTCTTTGCGTGGCACGTGTCTTCTCCAATCTGAGTGTGTCTCTGTGTTAATGATTCATGAGTGCCCCAAGATGGGGGTAGTAGCTGCACTTTCACTTTATCAGGACCACCTTGAATTCAGCAGACACACACATCACCACCACCATTTGCTTTGACCTTTGACACCTTACAGTATTTTAGTGAACACATGTGCACTCGTATATCTGTACACATGTACTCAGCTACTACACAACCCCAACAATATGTCACTTTTGTGAAGTCTTTGTATAAACTGTGCTTAGATAAAGGAACAGGAACACTCACCACTTGCATGCTCTCCCATCTTTCATCTGTGTGGTTTTATGAATGACGAAGCCTCTGTTCAGTCTCCAGTTAGCTGAAATGGACCAAACAGTATAGATGACAGATATAAGGCAACCTAACTCAGCTCTCTTGGGCATTCTTCACCTCCTCCACATTTGCTGCTGACTGCAGAAGGCCTTGTTGTCCTTGGTTGGACTTCCAGACTCTCAGAGAGGGAGCGTGGTGCCGTAGCTCTGCTGACGGCAGTGCAGTTGGTCGGGTATGGCAGACAGCTGTTGGCCCTGTCCCTGGAAGGCTGCTGGATCGGCGTTAGCAGCTCTTCCTGGACATGTTTGAAATGGCCCAGCTGTAATGTATTGTGCTGCTTTGATTTATGTTTATTTATGGAAGGCCTCCCTGTAATGTGTGCTAACAGTGTGTGAGTGAGCAAAATGTGTTTGGAGTAGAGAAAACTATGTTGTGTGTGCGGTCATGTGTCTGTGCACCTTTGCTTTTGAGGGACCCTCAGTGGTAGGGGCTGGGGGTTCAGTTGGCTGCAGGAGCGAAGCATTTGAAATCCAAAAATTAGCTCACGGTGAAAGAGTGCCACTTTTCTCCCTTTCTCTCCCTCTCTCCTCTCATCTAACAGGGAGTGAATGCATGAATTACTGAAAGCATCACATCACATTCCCCTGCCTTCCCCTCATGTTTTCCACTCTTGTTTTTGGCTTTGTTGTTGTTTAAAACTCAGGCCTCTTTTCATGTGAGCACATGATACATAGTTGAGAACACTTGACGGCGGGCCTTCAGTTTTTCCTAACCGTGGTGAGTTTTTCAGGGAAATTGATGACACAACTTAATTTTCCTCTGTGGGTGTTTCTTTGGGAGTTTTGTTGTTATGGATGTGAACAGTGAAACCCGTAGACCATTCTGTGGCTTGCAGATGGTTACACATTGAATAGAAACATGAACACATAGCTTTTACATCACTTTTGTGAGATGAGGCCTCTTGAAATGACAAGTCTTAATACTAGAAGAGTGTACAGCTGAATAGTGAAATAGGAATGGATAGTGGTCTAATGTCCCCGCCTCCTCTCTTTCCTTTCCTCTCAACTATAACTACGTTTTGTGTCACATACCTACGGAGCTGCCAAGCGAAATTGTGGTAATGGCTTCAGAAGTTAGTCAGACCTTGCCAAAAACATATATTTACAAATACTATAACTTGTGGTGTTTCAGGCTATCTTTCAAAGACCTCAATGGGCACAGTAAGCTTCATCTATTGAAAGTGTATTCAGCTGTTTTAGCAATGCCGTGGTACATTTTTGCACACAAAGCTAAATGTTTGTGTAGAGTGAGAAAGAGCTTTCTATATTTCTGTGTTCTCAGATAATAAACAATTAGATTGTCATGGGCATATTCATTAAAGGTTTTCCTAATGTTGGAAAAAATGTGTTCACATATCATCTCAATTAGTGCTTCTTCTCTGCCTCTGTCACTCTCCAGGTTCAGCTATTGTACGAGCTCCTCTTCAGCTGGAGCTCTACATGGGCTCGCCTCCAGAAGCATGGCATCCTGCGGCAGGCCTCCAGCGTCCTGGACCCCCCCGCTGCTGCGCCGGCCTCCCCCGTGCGCAGCAGTGCCGGCACCGCCCTGCCAGACACCAGCACCTGCAGCCCGTCTGCAGACTTTGGCTCTCCCACTGAGGTTTGTTTGTTTTCATGAAATGTGAGATTCATGAATCTAAAAATCTATGTTGCACAATCCTCTTCTCATAGTTTTGCCAAACAACTATTGCACATAAATAG